TAATAATATTAATAATTAATCATTTAAACATTAATATTTTATTTATAATTTAATAATTAATATTTGAAAATATTAATATTTTATTTATTATGATTAAAATATAAATAATTTTAATTAATATTTAAAATTAAAATGTTATTTTTAATATAAAATTAAAAATTTAAACATTTTTCCTTTTTATAATAATATTAATAATTAATAATTTAAATATTAATATTTTATATATAATTTAATCATTAATATTTTAAAATATTAATATTTTTATATAATTTAAATATTATTATGGTTCAAATATTAATAATTTTAATTAATTTTTAAAATTTAAATATTATTTTTTATAATATATATTATGTAATTTTTTAAACTTATAAAAGATATTTTAATATTTATAATTTTTTGAGGGTATTGTTTAACTAAGGAATTGCTAATACCATGGGGGTGTTGGCATTAGCTATTCCTTAGTTTTAACTTATTTTGGAAAGTAGTGATTCTAGAGGAATGACTATTTCTTAAAACATGTAGGAACCAAACGAAGGAATACATATTCCTTGGGAGTAGAGGGGGAATGGCTTAGCCATTCCTCCAACCAAACATGCTACAAGGCTCCACCTTGATGCTGGCTCAGATGAGTTGATTGCCGTTGCTGAAAAGCATCCTTATACCGATGCCCGACTGTCACAGTTTTCTGTTTTTGTGATGGTTGGTTTGTCCAGATTTTTGTGGTTTTGGTTTCCCATTTTGCTCCCATCAAGGACTTCTAGATATCTTTGGTGATGTTTTACAAGCAGCTCCAAATAGTATAGGGAGGTTGGCTTTTTGTTTTTCTCGATGCCTTGTGCTTAGTTCTGCAGCTATGTTATGAGGCATGTGTACAGTGAGTTTCAAAATTCCAAATCAGAGTTTTATACCACCAAAAGTCTTAGAATCATACTCTAAGACTATGGGAATGCATACTAGCTGTAGGGCACAATCAATAAAACAACCACTTTTCAAAAATAAAATGATGTAATAAGACTTGCTCTAGAAGGCAAAAACGAAAATGTATACAAGAAAAAAGATAAAAGTGAAAATGGAATGAATAGAAACTTTTATATGTATTTTAGGAAAAGGTTAAAAGTAAAACTTTTGAATTGTTTTTATATAAGTTATTAAATCAAACATTTCAGAACATTCAAAAGTAAAATTAGTCTGTAAATTTTGTTATTTGTTTTAGTTACTTTCACTGTCATTTACATTAAATAATTATTGTACTCGTTTTAATTGTTTTTATTATTCTCTATATAATATTATGTTATTGTAAAAACACTCTTAGAAAAATATCTATAGGTGGCTACTCAATCAAAATTACTGTGGTTCTTTAGACTGGCGTGAAAATCACATTACTCCTACTTTCATTGAAAATTTTTACGTCAACCCGTAGGCCAACCGGTATAGACTTGGATTGCCATTTTTTCCCCTTGGTTTGTGAGTTAAAGCTAGGTAAGTGTAAATTGTAGAGGGAAGAGGTTGAGGTTCTCAAAGCTGTTCGACCAAATGACTCCTGATTTAGGAAAAGTTGGCCACCGAATGTAACTAATACAATGATCTTTTGCCATTTAAGGTTCTATATATGTTCCATCTATTCTCCTTGGGGAGACAGAATTCCATCTTTTAACTTTGCTACTTAAGCTCTTAGTGCCATAATATCCTGCAAGACTCTACCTCCAAATGGCTTTCAAAAATGTCAAGTTGGGTCTAGCCCTGGTTCTTGTAGGCATGCTTTGTTCTAAAGCCACAGCTCAGTCTGGTTGCACCAGTGTGCTCTTGGGGTTAGCCCCGTGTTTAAATTACATTGCAGGAAATTCGACAACCCCAGCATCATCTTGCTGCTCTCAGCTTTCTAGCGTAGTTCAATCACAGCCACAGTGTCTTTGCTCAGCACTCAGCGGTGGCGGCTCGTCACTGGGTATTACCATCAATCAGACTCGAGCTCTGTCACTCCCTGGAGCTTGCAATGTGCAAACACCCCCAGTTAGCAGGTGTAACGGTAAAGTCAAGTTAAGACTTAAACGTATAACTTACAATTCCGCTAGAAAGGTAGTATAAATATTCTGGAAAACTTAATTTGATTTTTTACCAGATGCCAATGGTCCAGCAGCTCCCCCTGTGAGCTCCGCAGTAAGTCCTCCAGCTGATGGTTCGGATGAGACACCTGACACTCCAGCTACATCATCAATGCCAAGCATTCCTTCAGGTAGATAGAACTTGCAAATTCACATATAATTAAGTAGAAATAACAGTTCAGGCTCTGGTTAAGCGCCAGTAATTTTGTGATTACACCTTGAGCTACTTCCAGGAGAAATGTTGAAATTAACTCCAAAATTGATGTGAAAGTCTAGATCATTAACACTGCTTAAACTCTATGCTTTGGTGGTAATGCTAATCAGTTGTATATGAAGAATTCTGACTTCACTTTCCTAACGATTTATCTATTAACACATGAATATATGCAGGAACTGGGTCTAAAACTATCCCTGCAACAGAATACAGAATATCAAATGGAAATATTATGAAAATGCCGCTTACTCTCACTCTGGTCACTCTGTTTATGGCTTCATACATTTCTCTTATCACCTTATGTTGATCATTTTATGAAAACTAGGAGCTTGTTTACCGACTAGGCTACTACTACTACCAAGCAGCAACGGTTCCCACTTATTGTTGTTCAGGGTTGTATTCCTACTTTGTGATGTATGCTTAATGGATATATAAGAGTACATTGTTGTCTTCATCAGCTAAAATGCAACTTAAATATTGATGCTCAAACTGCGGTTAGAAAAGGTGACAATGGATGACAGAGAAGTGTAATGGAGCGGTTTTAACCATCCAACAACAACGACGACAATAATAGCAACAATTGTTTCTTCAACATTCTGTAGACAAATGAAGAAGGCACTGCTTTTCCAAAATCCAAGCCATTAAAATTACATAGCCTAACAGAGGTATGAACGTAAGGCTAATAATGTACAACAGAAGTAACCTCAAATATGGTAACGACCATCGAAAATAGACAAATTTAAGAACTTCGATCTCACATAATGTCGGTTGATCACATTCAGAGTTCCATCCAAGTGTCGGTTGACAGGCAAAATTTGAACACACCCAAGTCAAAGCTCTCCATGCATTTACGCACAAAGGCAATATCAGGCATCAGCAATATACCATGCCTGCGATCTTTGTATCAATGTATGTGAATGCAACAGAGGTAATTCTAGTTGCAAGCACTGACGCAACATATTTGTCCAGCTGGGCTTCTTAATTAATTATGCAGAATACCTCAACAGCACTTGGACCGCCTAAAGTTTGGGGCCTGGGACCTAGGCCACTCCAAGTTAATTTCAATCATTACTATTTTGAATTGATTTTTAATTATGAAGAAATTCCTCAACATCCCATAAACCCCATAAAAGGTGAGAAGAATTATGGCTTAAAGGGATAAGTTTGGGCCGCTCGGCCAATTTTTTGACAAATTTTTCTGCCAACATGTAGCAGTAAATATAATAGGGTAATACCCCATTTGTATCAAAAATATATCTAATTAAACACTTAGTTGACGTTTGGTATCAGAAAAGTAAGAGCACATCTCCTGTAATATGTCCAATTAAATTACATTACAGTGTTTGTTTTATAACAAACCACTGTAATATAAGATTGCAATGCAATCACATTACAGCTAATGAATGCAATGTGATTGCAGTCCAAAACTAATGCAATTACATTACATTGCACTCTACAATGTTCTTAAAGATAATTTTACCTTTCAACTTTATTGCCTTGTTAAAAATATTTTATAATGTTATAATTAAAATAAAAATATTAAAATAAAATATA